TTTTCCTCATCAAATAAATATCCAATATTCAAATTAATAAAACTGAATTTATATGTTCTTTAGTTTCTCCTCTTTATTTAAAAAGGAAACACTCCTGTCAAAAATGCATAACTTGAACTTAATCATGAAGAAACAATCAGCTAAATACAAATTGGGAGACATATAAATAGTCTGTAATAAAAAATATCAATGTATGAAAGACAAAGAGAAGTTGAAGAATTGTTCCAGATTAAAGGAGACTAAAGAGATAATTTTCAAATGTAGTGAATGATACTGAATTGGGGAGAGGGGTAGGAAATGTATTAAAAAAGGATGGTTTATAATAATTCTATCACATCCATGTTAAGTGTCCTGAATATTATAATTATATTGTGGTCATTTATATAAGTGAATATCCTTGGTTTTAGGAGGTAACATGCTGGAACAGGGGTAAGGATCATATTTACAACTAGTTTCCAAATTATCTAGCAATAGATAGTTACTGAGAGAAAATAAAATATGTAACATGTTAATAGTTGTTGAGTCTGTGGTTAAGGATAAAAAAATACTGTTTTTATTCTTGTTCAATTTCTAGATGGTTAAAATTCTCAAAATGCAAATTTGAAAAGAATATAACTAATAACTATATAAAACAACACACTGCATTTGAAATCAACAAAGGTAAAATAATGGTAATGTATATAATTATCAACTAGCACATGAAATTCAGTCTGACAGAGGAGTGGGAGAAGAGCCAAATACAATAGGGTAGATTTGGCATTAGGAGTCTCACCTTGACTTGTCTGGGATCTTGAGTACATGAAGGGAGGAAAAAATGTATTTGGGGTCTCTTGGATCTGATATTTGGATTGCCTCAGAAAGAAATTGTGAATGCATAAGGAAGAATAAAGTTTCATATACAGCTAAATAAATTTGGAGACAAGACACACACAGAGACACATACACACACACACACACACACACAGGGACTTGCCTTACCACATGTTAAGGTATGTTACAAAATCAAAATAACAAAAACTGGTGTAGGTGCAGGAACAAATAAATGACCAATAGGACATAACAGTTCTAACTTGCACCTAGACATGTACAGGAAATTCACATATGATAAAGGTGGCACTGTATGGCAAAGGGGATAGAATAAACTAAGCTTAGTATGATAGCACTGTGAATCGTGGCTCACCATTAGATGAAAATAAAGCAGAATATAGTTCTATGCAAAAGTGGACTCTGAATGCAGTAAAGACCTAAATGTGAATGGTACAACTATAATCACAATTATAAAATGTAGGACAGTATATTTGTAACCTTGGGGTGGAGAATTAAATAAGGAGACAACAGGTGGGTCTATGCACAATTAATAATTTCAATAAAGAAACTATAAACTAAAAAAAAAAAAAAATGGAGAAGAGATTGGAAGATGTGCTGTCCAAAGCTGAAAAAAAGGTTTAGCTAGAACTTAAAAATCAACAAGGAAAGAGGAAACCCAATAGAAAAATGGGCAAAAGATAGAAAGACATAATTCACACACAGATTGGGGGATCCCAAATTGATAATGAGTATATAAAGACATGTTTAAATTTACTAGGAATCAAAGAAATGCGAGTTTACTACCATCAGAATGGCAGACATTAGAAAGTTGGGTGATATCAAGTATTAAGGAGACACTGAATACAAGGGGAATGTAGGGTGACAGCAAAACGTGTTCATTTTTTTTTGTTGAAGTAATTTTTAAAAAATTTTTATTTACCTTTTTTTAGAGAGAGGGGAAGGGAAAGAGAGAGGGAGAAAAACATCGTTGTGTGAGAGAGAAATACACATTGGTTGTCTCCGGCATATCCCCAACTGGGGACCTGGTCCATAACCCAGGCATGTATTCTGACCAGGAATTGAACTGGCAACTTCTCAGTCCACAGGCTGGCATTCAATCCATTGAGCCACACCAGCCAGGGATGGTGGGGTAATTTTAAAGTCCTATTTAATATTCTACATCTAATCCTTCAATGAATCCTGATTCTATTTCTACTCTTGCCCCTCCCTCACCACTGCATGTTCTTCAAACTGTATCTGGAATGAGCCTTTTAAAATGTAAGCCGGATCACATCAATTCTCACTCCATGTCCTCAAGTTTTCTCTACATATCAAATCTCCAGCATAGGCAAAATAATGGCCCCCAAAGATGTCTAAGGTTGCAGATGGAATTAAAGCGCTTTAGCAACTGACCTTGAGGTAGAGAAATTATCTTGGATCAATTGGTGGTTACCAATGTAACAGCAAGCATCTTCATAAGAGGCAGGAATGTTACTCTGATGCAATGTCAGAAGGATCTGACAGGCCATTGCTGGCTTTGAAGATAGAAGGAGATCACAAGCCAAAGAAACTGGGCAGCCTGTAGAAGCTGAAAAGGCAAAAAAACTGATTTTCCCTAAGAGCCTCCATAAGGAATGCAGCTGGACTGACATCTTGATTTAAGTCCAGTAAGATGCATTTTGGACTTCTAACCTCCAGAACTCTAAGATAATAAATGTGTGTTGCTTAAAGCCACCAAATTTGTGGTAAACTGTTACAGCAGCAGTAGGAAGCACATACACAAAATAAAAATCTGTCATCTCAAACTTCCCTCCTCTTACTCACTCTGCATCCATCCCGTGATCTCACTGCTGTTCCTCAAGCACATGCTACGCAAAACCCCCTTCTGCCTCAGGGCCTGTGCACTTCCAATGCCCTCAGCCTGAAGAAATTTTTGAATTGCAAGCCAATTCTGTTGGGGATGATTGGTGACATGGGGCCTGAGACTAGGAAGACCCCCCTGACTTGTGCTTTCAGCCATGGTACAGAAACAAGGGCCAGATTTATCCTCATGCCCTAAACATGCTAAAAATAGAACAGACAAAACACATGAAAACAAGGTTTTAAGATACTGGACAACAGGCAGTACAGGCAAGTAATCCCTAACAGAAAGGAAATAAATAAGGTGAGCCCTGGAAGTGCCCCCTGCCTGGAAATTTCAATCTTTAGCACAAGGAGGGGGAACCCAAATTGAGTCAGTTATGTCCAGGAGTTGAGAAGATATAGTTCAGAGTTTAGGGAGCCCAAGGCAGCTAGAATTTGGAGAGTGGAGATGGGCAGTGAGAGAAAGTCCCAGCAATTTGCAGAAGATCCTCCACAACCCTTTGGCTGAATATTGATCAGTGCATATGTGTAAGGCAAATATTGAGGCCTGGGAAAGAACCAGCAGAAAGGAGAGGGTAGACTCGGGCCAAGAATAGAGTTCCCACCAGCCAGAGTGGAAAAAACTTCTACTACATGGAGCACTCAACAGAGTCCTCACAAAGATATTGGCTTGGTAAAGGCGCCAAATTAGCCCTAGATAAAGGCTATTTTGGACCTAAGAAAACTCAAAAGCAAGCTTCTAAAGCAGCACTGTTAAAGAGAACTTTCTGCAATGATTGTCCAATACAGAAGCTGCATGTGTACACTTAAATGTACATCATACAAGTAAGGAACTAAAAGTTAAATTTTATCTAATTTTATTAACAAATATAAATAGACATATGTACCTAGTGGTTACTATTTTAGACAGGGTAGCTCTAAAGGATCAAACTGTTTCCAGGTAACCGTACTGTATCTCAGAACAAAGGCTAAGTATATTTAAAGAAAAGCAACCTCCAGCACCAAACAATGTAAAATCTGCAATGTCTGGTAGGCAATAAAAACTTATGAGCTTTGGAAACAATCATAAAAATATGACCCATAAATAGGAGGAAAAAACCCAGTTGATAAAGATACCTAGAAATGACACAAATGATAGAATTAATATGAAAGCACCTTAACAGCTATTTTAATATATATTCTATATTTTCAAGGTGGAGGAAAGCGAGAGTATAATGAGGTAAAAAATGGAAGATAATAAAAAAATTAAACTTATAGAAATGAAAATACAGTTCTGACATGAACAAAAAAATCCCATTGTGGATGGGATTAACAGTTGAAGCAAAGAATAGTGAACTTGAAGATACACCATAGAAACTATCCAATTAAAAAATAAACAGAGGATCAAACAGCTTCACCTATGTGCAACTGGAGCTGCAGATTTTTTTGAGGGGAACAGGGAGGTACTCAGAAAAAAAAAAAAGACAAAATAGAGGTCTTTTGTAATGAAGCTTATTCAATAATGATGGGAAAACTGAGGGAACAGAAAACCAAGACCTTAGAATTGCACAGGAGTGTGTCACAAGGGAGAGTGCAGAGGTACTATGAGAAGCTTAGCTGGGGCAGGGTGAAGCCCTGACCACTTGGTTTTCATTAAGGAGAGAAAATTTTACTTTCTTGGGCTGGTGGAGGAAATCATTACTGTGAAAAAAAGGAAAGTCTCCATACCCTGGTTTGGCTGTAAAATGATCTTCACGTTTCCAAAGAATCTTCAGTAACATCTAAGTGGTGTACAAAAATGCTTAATTTTTCCCCCACAGGGAAGTCCTTTCCTACCTTTTATTAATAATCCTCTCATCCCCCCCCCATGTCTTCAACTCTAAGAGTTGTGAGGTTCCCACATTTTTTTCTATTTCTTGTAAGAATGCTAGATAATGAGAACGTTTTATTCAAAATAATCTTAGTATCTGAAGAGGAAATGAGATTATACATTGTTTTCCCTAAAATAACTTTTCATGTCGGTCACTGAGAGCTCATGCTTTTTTATTTTCTATCAATTAGGTATAATTATATTTCAGAGGAAATGGACTGTACCTCTTGGAACCTCTGTCTTCTTTATCTAAAATAACAGCAACACTCTTTATTTTTTTAGTATCTAGTTATACTTACAAAGTATGATATCTGAAAATGCTATAAAATGAGAAAATGTAATGCCATACATGATGAAAAATTTGAGCACAGAACGAAAAACATATGGCACTTATATTTAAATGTACTTTTTATGAAGAAATTTGTTCTAAAATTTGTTTATGCCTGCCAATAATATATTGTGGGCAAAAATAGGTACGTACCTGTCAAAACCAGGAACTGTGAGATTTTGAAATGTACAGGCGAATACTAAATCAATATCATCAGAGAACAGCTTTAAAAACCTTGTTATCTATTTTCACCTGTGGAAAAGACAGGGAGACAGAGTCACCGTTAACGTTTAGAAGCCCCTGGGTTATTTAAGAAAGGTGAGACATGTTAAACATTAAGAAATTAATTAAAGACATTTCTTTTCAAGCTGGGCTCTAAAATTTTTGCAGAGTGAAATGTAGTTCTCATTCTTTTTCACTAAAAAGCTCGTTTTTCCACTTTTAGGTAATGTGGTTAATTTTAACGTAGTTGGATGGCCAAAAATATTATACCTGGTTAATTTAAAATAGTGTTCCCTAATTAAGAGCATACAAGTTTAAATGGTATTGAACGGGAAAATAATCGATACAATATTAAATATTAGTGACGTAGTATACTCTTTCCTTTTCGTAGTATACCATCACCAATTTTTCTGGAAAGGGGATGGCAAGTGGGAAAGGAATACTAAGCAGGAATCTGCGCTTTCATTGTTAGCTCTGCCACTTCCCGATTCAACCCTGACCCGACTGTGCAGGGCTGACCCGGGCCGGGCGGCCTCAGGCCCCCCAAGATTGCAGGCCGCCGGCGCTAGGACCCAAATTGGGAGGCTCCCCTAAAGCCGGCTGCGGCAAGAGAGCACACCAACCTCCCAGCGCCCAAGAGCAGCTCTGAGGAATAAAGAGTTCACTGAACGTGGGTCCGGAATGGTGCCTAATCTTTGCGAAAACTGGTACAAAGCCTTAGCAGCAAAACAGGAGGTATTCCAGAGCTTCGGGAAGGAAGCGGGAGGGCACACTGGCCTGCGCATGCGCGTTCATTCCAGGTGCAGCCGCAGGTGGCAGAGAGCAAGATTTAGGTCGGTCTGGAAAAAGAGTGGCAACTGGTTACTAGGAGACGGGACGCCCGGGTTGGACGTCTAGGCGCTGCGCCGGCATGCGCCTGCGCGGCGCGAAGGGACCAGAAAGAGGCCTTTTTATAGGCGTCTGCTAAGGCTGGCAGGTGGACGTACGCGTCGCTACGTGTGTGTGTGCAGGCGCAGGGCTTGTGGTCACCGCGAGAGGTGGGGGGTCGAGCCAGGTACGCGTGCGCACAGGGATTGTGGGCGCGCGGGGCGGAAGCGGAGCGAAGGCGCCGGGGAGGTGGAGGACAAGCCCCCTCAGGTACACAACGTGAGGGCGGGGCCGACGGAGGCGCCGGCCGGCGCTAACCGCCCCTGCGGATCCTTCCCGCCGGGTCCCACCTCCCTCCACCTCCACCGGGGCGGGGCCAGGTCTATCTGGAGGTGGGAAGGGAGGGGAATGGGGCGGAGGATGGAGGTGGGGTGGGGCCTGGATCCCCGGCGGAGACCGAGACCTGGCAGTCGCCGGCATGAGCTCCGAGGAGGTCAGCGAAAGTCCGGGGAGGGACCCGGAGCTCCAGGTAGAAAGCAGCGGTGATGCGCCGGGTTGGGATAAAGCAGCTTCTGGGCGGGAAGGCCTCCGGGAGGGCAGCTGCAAGAAAGAGTGTGTGGCGGGGGTTGGGGGCTCTGGGTGACTCCGAGGTAGATATTCACTGCTTGAGCTTCTGTGAGGGGCAGTGAGCAGGCGGAATTGCGGCCCTTGAGTCTCTCTAGGAGCAAACTTTGCTCTTGTTGCCGTTTCTTAGGAGTTTAGGGTTGAGCCCAGTTCCTATGGTGACCGCTTCGCTTCCCGCCGCAGCTCTCTGCTTGTTTGTTGGGGGAAACTTTTCGGTTTAGGTAGGCTCTAGAGTGAAGCTGAGGAATTTGGAAGTCAGAGATTTGGGAGTTAAACCTTGCTTATCCTGAATCCCAACCTCTCACTTCTAAGGCTCTTTATAGACTTTAGGAGGCCGAGATTACGTAGACATTTGCATGACCATCTCATATAAATTCAGTAGGGAAGTTAGGGTAAACTGGCTTTTTTTTTGAAAAGTAGTTGAGACAAAAGTGAATAACTGAGGCTATTATGGACCTAAATACGTATAAGAATAGTTCCCCCCACCCCCCTTAAATAATAAAGTCAAGAATTGCGGCTTCTGGAAAACTTTGTAAAGATGTTGGTGTCCCAGGGTATTTCTTTTTCCACTACACGTCCTTATATCTCAGGGTATTCGGTGTTTAAATTTCCTCTCCTGGCATTTCAACTACACTTCTTTTTTGTTGTTGTTTTACCTATAAGGACATAAATAGGATAACAATTGGTTTTTAAAAAGTAGAAGAACACAGGTTAGTTATAAATATAAAAGGAAAGTGTCACGTCCTTTAAATCTCCCTCCAGGATAAAACTGATTTTTGTTCGTATTTTAATTAATCAATGAATTAAATTAGTCTTAATGGGAAATAATTAGGAAGGTATATTAAAGAAATATTTAAGTAACAAACTTTATAATTAATGGCAGCTTCCCAAATATATGTTATATTGTTTATGTTCTGAAAGAAATCACTGCTTTAGCCCAGCATATAATCAGTTTTAGAGATTTTCTGGGCTCTCTTTCGATCTTCTTTTTTAGTTGCTTAGTACAATTTGTTTTAGGATAATTTGCTTTGAAAGCACTCCAGATCCAGAGGCAGTTAGAGCAGATGTTATTATTTATTACCTTTTTCCATCTCACACCCCGTTGTAGCCACTATGATAGCCATTTCCTTGCGTTTTATATTTATTTTTTATAGGTGCTTCATCTTTGTATGTGAACATTCTAGTTTGACCTGTTTTTTGAACTTTATATAAATGGAATTCTAAGTATTCCTTTACATTTTGCTTCTTTACTCGACATTGTTTTAAAGATTTAGCCTTGTTGTTCCTTATAGTTTATTGTTTAGTGTTTGTTGTAAGAGTATACCACAATTTATCTACTCTTATCTTGGGGGACATTAAGGATTTAACAGCTTTTGGTAAAGGTGAACACTCCTGTGAACTTTCATATACAGGTACCCATGATAATCTTTTGAAGTGAGCTAGTTAGTAAGGCAGTTCCATGTCTTTGTTATGCTACTAACATCAGTTCCTGTCTCCTTAAATTCTTTTAGTTGAGAGAAACCTCTTGAAAACAGATATTTAACCCCTTATGTTTCCAAGCGTTCTTGATAAATGGTATCTCTCATAAGGCCATTTATTCATGCTCTTTTAAAAAATAAGTTATTTCTTTACAATATAATCTGAATTGAAGAGAAATGAGGACTTGGGGTTTAAATGGAATGACTAGGAGAGATTACTTCTTTTTCATAAAGATTAAACATTGTGGCTTTACTGTTTTGTTTGAAGTGAATTCCCAAAACATTTGTTCACCTATTTTTCTTATAAACACAAAAACCTATTTCAAAATTATTCAAAATTTTGTATGGTTCTCTATATCTTTCTGTTAGTGAGGCTATTCCTTCCTACTTCAAAGTGGTTATCAGTCTAAACATTTGGGGATAAATTTATAAAAAGAAAATAAGTTGACCTTATGTGGGACTAGACTTCAGAATCCCATATAAAATACTCCAGTAGTTTCAATTATTCTATCAAAATGTTCGGTAAACATTTGTTGAGCACATATTATATACCTGATATTTTGCTTAACACTGATGATAATTTTTAGCACATGATTTCAACTTCCATTTTCACTGAAAAATTAAAATGCTACCAGGCAGAGACTTCTTTGAATTTCTACCTCTTAACTTTCCCTGACCTTGCTTTTTTCTTTCTTGTCTTAGAGGAGACAAATTTCCACTCTTTATCTAACTCTTCACCTGCACTTGCTTTTCTCTTTCTTGTCTTGAAGAACAATGCACACCTTTTACCTGGGTTTCCTTTTGTTAACCCAGTGGCCTTTCTCCATTAGTTAGCATTAAGCCACATCTTAAAATCTTCATTGTGCTTATGCTGTAGGGCTTCTTAACCTGGAGTACAAGAATTTAGGGAGTTCTTGAACCCTCTGAAATTGTGAAGTTTTGTATGTGTTTGCAATTAGAAGAGGACCTGGGGCTTTTTTTAAATTCTGGAAATCTTCCTTGATATAAAGAAAAATAAGAAACAAGTTTTCCTTCTTTTGTAATTCCCCTTCAACACCCTCTATCTTCTAACTTTCCCTCTACCACCTTCTAACTTTCTCCCCTCCTCTCTTCTCACCATGGTACTTAGTAAAAGAAATCTACATTTTCTATTTCCTTTTTATTGCTACTAAGTTATTAGTCCTCATCAAACTTTCACCTCATCCCTACCATTAAAACTACTTTGTTCCAATCATTAAAATTGATTATTTAAAAACTGTTTGAGTATCAATTTTTTAAAAAGATTTTACTCATTTTTAGAGAGAGGGGAAGGGAGAGCAAAGAGGGAAAGAAACCTTGATGTGCAAGAAACATGTCAGTCACCAACTGGGGACCTGGCCCACAACCTAGGAATGTGTCCTGAGAATCACACTGGCAGCCTTTCAGTTCACAGGCCAGCATGGAATCCACTGAGCCACACCAGCTAGGGCTTGAGCACCAGTTTTGTGCTGAGCACATTTCTAGGCATTTAGAGAGATGTAACATGATCAGGTAAGAGTCTAGATCTTTTGGACCTTATGTTCTAGAAGGGGAATAGACAAATGAAGAAATACATGATATAATTTCAAATGGTATAAGTGTAAATAATCTAATAAGAGAGTGACTAGTAGAGAGGCTACTTTAAGCGTGAGGTCAGGGAAGACCTTCTGACATTTTAACGGAAGAGCTGGGCCCCTGGGGGTAAGATGGAGCCAGCCCTGAAAAGGGCTAGGGGAGTATTCCTGGCAGAGGCAAAGTCAGGGCAGAAGCTTCAAAATGGAATAATATTGGCACAGTAGAAGAAGAGAAAACCCCCCGATAAAGCTGGTTGGTGAACAGAAAATAAGTACTAGGTCTGTTTTGGGCGTGAAGGCAGGGGTCAAATCATACAGGACCTTAAAACGTTTGGACATTAGACTAATTGCAGCGGGAAGCCATTGGACTGTTTTTAAGCAGGGTATCATTGTTTTAAAGTGATTGTTTTGATTTCAGTTTGGAAACTAATTGTATGGAGCAACAGTAGAAGCAGAAAGATCAGTTAGGAAACTGTTGTGGTTATCCATGTGGGAGATCATAGTGACTTGAAATATGGAGATGGTAATAAAAATGCAGAGAAGTGGGTGGATTTGGACTTAGGACCAACAGGGCTTATTGATATATTTGATAGGGGTCAGGGAAAAAGTAAACAAAGACAACTCCTTGGATTTTTGATCTTGAGCACCGACCAAATGATAGTGCTATTTGACATGGGAAGGAACATAGTGGAGGCAGAAGAGTTGAGAGCAGAACTGCAGGTGGAAGAATTAGAGTCCGTTTTAGACATGTTAAAGTTGTAACGGCTGTGGACATCCAATAAACACCATATAAGGTGCTCTTTGTTAGTGCTCTGATATGTGTGTGTTCATAGCTTTTGTATTCTAAGTCTTTTGGAGGGAAGGAGAACTTAGAAATACTTTTCATAGTCCCTTTCTCTGTGTTCCCTTAGCATCCATGTGCATTCTGCTGATGTGGCCCTAATTATACTGTACTCTAATTTCTGATTTATTTGTTTGGGACTTCCCTAGATATATTGAGGGTTGAAATTACAGCTTTTTATTTGTTTTCAATCTTTCTATCACCAGAATCTAATACTGGTTCATCGTTATTCTAGCTATTTATAAATTTGTTTGATAATTGAATAAATGTAACTTCCATTCTGATAGTTTGAACTGAAACAGCGTTAGGGAAGTATATTTGAGAGAGATCTCAGTGAAAAGATCAGTAGGACTTGATAGCCAATTATTAAGTTGAGTCAGTGAGAGTAA